TACTGTATTTGGTAGCTTTTACTAGTTTTCACCCACTTTCTGAGGAGGCAATGCCAAGCAGAATCTCCTTGGCTTCTTTGTCACTATTGCCAGGCTGAGGGCACCGTGCTTTGAACTAGCTGAGGTCAGGATTGGCTTTGACAGAGTGTTACAGAACCAGGTTCTATTTAATCTCAGAAACCAAAGTTCAGGGAAAAGTTGGGCAAAAGGTTTTATCCTCTCTCTGGTTTTTGTCTCCTCCCTTCCCTGTCACCGTGGTGGTCAATTCACAGTAAGTTCAGTCACCAGAACATTGTGCGGTGCATTGGTGTGAGCCTCCAGACGCTGCCTCGCTTCATTCTGCTGGAGCTCATGGCCGGAGGAGACATGAAGAGCTTCCTTCGGCAGAATCGCCCCCGGGTGGTGAGACCATCTTCCTCTTTCCTCTTGGGTCTGTTTTCATTGCAGCATTTTAATAGGGCTGTTCTCTGATTCCCACCTCCTACAAACCTTTGAACATTTTTCCCATCTCCATGACTTGACTTGATAATAGAAAATGATTCCTGATCCCATCTTTCAAAGGATCCGGTTTACAGTATTAGCAACCAACCAGGAAACAGAGTAAAGAATGTTTTCCTGTCACCTCCGCTGTTCTCTGCCAGGGACAGCAGGACAACAGCACATGAGAACGTTCCTTGAGCCTCCATCACACCATCTACACACTACTGGGTCAAGTGAAGAGCAGAAATTACAACACAACCCCCATTTCATGCACAGCTGTTGGGGCAGCTCTAGTGTTGCCAGCCCTCCAGGACTGGCCTGGAGATGCCTGGAATCGGCACCAATCTTCCGGTGGCAGTTGAAAGCAATTTGGGAAATTTTAATGGGAATGTTTTACGAAAAAGGCATTGTTACGTGGGAAAATAAATCTCCTGGAATAGCTTCAGTCAGAGTCAGCAACCCTAGGCAGCTCTACAGCTGGCGTAAATAGACCTCGCTGCATTTACTTCAGTGGAGCTATATTGAATTATACGAGCTAAAGACCTGGCCCTACATGTACAATTGGTGCTCAGTGAAACAGCCATTGCAAATCAATGATTGCCTTGTAGCCAATCAATTCTGATTTCCACAGATGTGTCTGTTACTGGCAAAAGTAACAAATAATTTAGATGGGCAGTTTTCAACATATTTGTTCACAAACTGCTAATTTCAGCTATTTGTTATGGGTTATTCAGAATGTGTTATTGGTCATGTAACTCACGTGATGTTGCTTCTGCTCCTTGGGTGGATGAGTGAAGCTTCCTAAACAGGAGAACGGGCCTGCTCTACAGACAGTTTTTGTACTGGTATAGCTATAACAGTTATAGTTGTATAAAGCTGTCTTACTTAGGTATAGTTGCACAAAGTGTGGGTGAGGTAATGTCTTTGATTGAACCAACCTCTGTTGGTCAGAGAGCAGTTTTGGGGCACACAGAGCTCTTCTTCAGATCAGTTCAACAGCTTGTTTCTCTCTCTAACAGACGTTGGTTCCATAAAAGATATTTCATCCACCTTGTCTTCCTAATGTCTTGAGATCAATACTGCTCCCATGACACTGCAGAATAGAGGTTTAGTTTTTCCCCTTTTCGTACTAAAATATACTAATATAAGCAAATTCAACTACAGCCCCACTAAGGGGATTGTAAGGTTTAACTATGTCAATATAGTGAAAGCAGCACAACTTTTGTGAGAAGATGATGATGACTGGCTAAACAGCAGTGAAGAGTGAATGTTCTCATGTGCACACAGCAAATATAGGAATAATGTGAAGGACAGTCATTCCAACACCTATGTGAAAACAAAGAATGTTTGTTGGCAGCAAACAAAAAGGGACAAGAATTATTTGACTCAAAACAGACTTTCCAAATACAAAGTTATGTTCCTGTGCACCCTTTCAGAAAATTCAGCCAGCTTAGATCACTATTCATCATTCCATAGCCTCTTAGTGGGACTGTAGTTGAATCTCCACCATGCTAATCTCTGCCTGCCTCTTATTTACTCCCTCTCTTTAACCTTTATAAGATTCTGGTTTATAACTCTAGCCTTCAAAGGCAAACATCCAAATGTTCTGTACAATAAAGACATGACCCACCTGGCTGATTAAACACCAGCTGCCAACAGCCAGAGTACTAATTATCTGGTTCCAGGCTGTGAACCGAACAACGTAACAGCATCCAGAGAAGAAACAAGAGAAGAAAAGAGCAATTTGACTTGACATCTCCAGGCGCTTCACTGAGCTTGATAGTAATTTCTCCACACCTCTCCCCAGAGCACTGGAAAAGCACTTGTCATAACAACTTTCCTGGAGATGCACCAAGGAATTTTTCCTGTAGGGGAAAAAATGATTGCTTGAAAATGAGTGGGTGTCACAGGGAGGCTTAGTCACCACCAGAGCACCTCCTTTTGGACACACCTGGGGATTGGCTCTACCAGTCCCACATCCCTCCTACAGTTGCTCACTCCATCACTCTCCCTTGCTTGAGACTTGGCTGCTCCCGCTTCAGTCCTCCCTTTCCAGGGTATCAACATTTCTCGGGAGCTGTTGTCCCAGGCAGCCCTTCCTGTCACTACATCTTAACAGCACCACTACCCAGTAGCTGCTATGGAAACCCAGGCCTGCCCTCTGCTCTGGGTTACAACCTAGGCACCCCACAACAAAAGTGGCCAAGGTCTGCACAGTCCTCAGCCTTACTGCCATATCCCTGGGCTACTTCCTACCTTATTTTCTTGCTCCCTAACAGCAACTGTGGCACCCTCCTCATCTTCTCTCAGCTGCTGAGCTTTATACTGGCCTCTGCTGTCCCTCTCCAGATATACCTTGTCTCTAAATTAATTCTTGTTCCCTGGCGGCGGCTACTTCTAGGTACAGCCTAGGCAGTTAATAGGCCCACTGGCCACCTTAATCCCTTCATGCCTTGTGTGGGCAGCCACCCCATCACAGCTGGACTCACTGAGAAGAGCACTGCTTAACTTCCATAGTGCTGCGAGCATGACTTTCTCTGGACTAAAATCTGAATTGGGCCTATCGTGTACTCAGCAAACCATGATATGATTTGTTAGACAGACCCAAAGCGCTTCATCAGTCTGTGAACTAGAGTGGTTGGGAGAGCTATAGCATCTATGAGTATAGTGTCCTATGTCAGTGTCCCCTATAAGTAGAGCACTTGGGTGGCCACCCAGGAGAGATTCAAATGCTGCCCAGTTGATTAGCAGAGCTCTCTGTGCCCACAGTCCACATGTGTTTCTCCTGGTGGTGCACATCCACATATGCCTCTGTGCACGTAACAAAATTTATTCTGCACGTGGATGGGAAAATTAGAGGGAACATTGTCCTTTGTGTTTTCTATTCCTGAGTCCTGCCTCTTCCCCAACACAATGGATGTGACAGAGCTGTAGGTGATTAGGATTTGGTGCTGGCACAGAGAAGTGCAGTAACTCCTCTTTGCTTTCTCACTCTCTCAGTCCATTCAAAATCCAGGATGGACGTGATTTTCAAAAACCTCACTAATTTTTGCTGTGTGACCCATAAGCATAATTTGTATAGCTCTTTTGTGCTTACTTTTAGACCACCTGCCACACTGGGCAGTTCTTGTTCACACCTTTGATAGAAACATTGGCCATTTTATTTAGACTGGGACAAAAAACTCACCCCACCCCTCCATACTTCCTCATGCAGAAGAAATCTGCCAGACCCACTTCCCATGTCTGGAAAAACTTTAATCTTAAAAAATAGAAACTCACTCTTTTTCCTCTTCTCTTCTTTGATCCTCCTCTCTTCCTCTTCATCTTATCTTTTTATTTCCTCCTCCGCTCTTCTGTATATATCTCTCTTCTTTCCATCCTATCTCTCCAACTATTCCATTTTTCCTGTACTCTCTCCCATTCCTCCATCTTTCACCTCTTCCCACCTATCTGCACCTCTCTCTTATCCAGAGTCAGCCATCAGCCAGTGACAGTGCATTTGGCTGCAAATATCTGGAGGAGAACCACTTCATCCACAGGTGAGAGGCAGGCAGTCCAGCCCAGTCTGAAGGTAGTTGGAACTCACTGCGCTTGTACAAAGCCTCTGGTTTTCCCTTTACAAGGGACTATGCAGACATGGGTTTTTTTCCCACTTTGGATTGATGTGGCTTTATGTTCCCCAAGTTAGACTTGAGTCTCAAGATCTCAAAGAGAAGCTCAATTGAACCCACATGGTTTTGACAAAAAAAAAGTGATAGCAGGATATCCCCATATTTCTGAAGCAAAAAGTAGGTTGAAATTGGACTCATTTGTCTTGAAATGTGGTCTGAAATTAGAACTTGATCTGAAGCCAAAAGCAGGCAGGTCTCCTTGTATAGCCCTAGGTAACTTTTAAGCTAAAACACTGTGGTGTCTTCACAAATGATGGCCTGAGTGCAGGGGCAGATGACTGTTTTGCGGGGCCCTGGGCAGCATAACTCCGCGGGGCCCGCCCTTTGCCACGGCGCATGCGCGGGGCTTTTTTAAGCGTGGGGCCCGGGGCGGCCGCCCCGTTCGCCCTGCCCTATATCCGCCCCTGCCTGAGTGAACTGTCAATCAAGAATATAACTAATGATGAAAAGGGTCTGCAGGCATTAGCTAACCCCTGAACACAGTACAACTAATGATGCCACATTAACAGCAAATATTATAGGGATTTCCTATAACATGACAAAATGGTGTGAACTCTGCTGCTTTGCATATAGTGCTAGAGTAAAACAATCTTTATAAAGATTTTCAGAGACAAAAACGGGAGGTAGGTACCCAAATGCCATTGACTTTCAATGGGAATTAGACTCCTAGCTGCCCTTTGTTCCCTATTGGCTGTGTACACCGGCCCCAGCACACCTCCAGGCCATGCTCATGGGGTTGTGGGCAGGCAGACAGGAACATGGAGGAGTCAGAATTGGAGTGTATGAAGGGCCCTGGGGAATGGGTTGGGGAGACATGGGATTCAGGAGGCAGGAGTCCGGGCAGGGGGGTATGAGGTTTGCCGGACCAGCAACATTTTATTTGCATATTCATTTTTGCATAATGAATATGCAAATAAATATGTTACCAGTCCACCAAAAGTTTGTGAATGGGTTTGTTGGTCCATGGTATAAAAAAGGTTGGGAACCACCGATCTTCTGGATACCTGTATCACATACACAGTTGAGATTCTTCCTGATTTCCACTAGATGGTAGCATTATCCTACATAAATGTACATGAGAATAAGGAGCAGCTTATTTCTCTTCTGCCCTTAGCTTGTTGATTGTTTTAGGAGTAGCACAAAAAAACTCCTTTGATCCATCGACAGGAAAAAGAGAGCAAGGGGGTTCAGAGTAAAGCAAAACAGGGCTTATGTGGTGTAGCACCCCTCTCTGCCCGGTTACCTTCTTTAATGCCAATCTGCCTACAGGTTTCGGTGGACAGCTCTGGGTGCTTCTGGATCTCGCCACCCACTCAGCAGGGTGTATCCTCTTTATTTTTTCCTATAAATTTATTGGGTGGTGCCTCCACCCCTCTGACTCCTTCCTGGGTGGGTCACCAGGGCAATTTGGGAGGAAAATTCTAACCACAAGATAATCCCCACTTACTTGCCAGATAGTTGGAGACTTCAAATAAATAACACAAACACGTACGATATCTTCAACACAATAATTATATTAAACAGGAAACAATTATAACAGGGTAAAACACTATTTTTAGATTCACGGGTGCCCACGCTGCTAATACCTGTGACTTTCCCCAGTCACATGACTTGATGCAGCAAATGTAAGATTAGTGTCCCGTTGGTACGTGTACTTTGTTGGGGCCCTTGATGACCTGTAAGCACAAAATTCTTCTCTGCAGTGATTTAGCAGTGTGGCTGACTGGGTTCAGTACAGCCCAAAGGACTCACAAGTGGGAGAAGGTGGTAAATCCCTCCACAGGTTTAATATGCAGCTGGTTATAAAATCCCTAAATCCTTACTCCCTGGCTTGAGGACACAGTTCAGGGAATAGGGGGTCCCCAAAACAAATTCCCTGACTAACTAAAAGATGGTGCACTCACAAACTCCATGGATGATCCTCCAGTTCAGAGATGACTCTGGACTCCTCAGTCACTGAAGAGGGGCTGATCTCAGCTAGCAGGGATCCTACTCAGGCAGGAATCAGGCTGCTTCAGTCCCAGAATTTCCCCTCACCACAAAGGGGTTCAGGGCTCAAGGTGCAGATTACGCAACTGTTCTAAAATCCAAACTGTAGTCTCCTAGCCCAGTGCCCAGACACAGCAGCCCTGAACTAGCAGGCAGAGCAGAGCTGACCATGTGGTGACTGGTCTCATCTAAGGAGCTGGAGGGCTAACTCAGCCTGGCCGGGGAAGTTTCCCAGCAAACTCTACGAACTGGGAATCATCAGTGGAGAAGGAAAACCCAGCTGAGGGATCTTGCTTTCAGGTTCCTAGAGGCCAGTTCTCAGGGGGGACCCTGCATGCAGGCCTGTGGCTTACCAGCTCTCCCCACAGCCAGTCCTGCCCTTGCCCTGGCTGGCTTCAGACTGACTCATAAAAAACAATGGTTTCTCCCCTTTCCTGAACTCCCTGGGAGGGGCATCTCATTCCCTATTTGTTGCCGGGCTGACTCTGAGTTTGCCTTGGCTCCCCCTCCCTACCAGCGACAGTGCGCCTCTCCCTGAGCTGGCAGCAGACAGAACCCCAGGAATCTAGGTAATCTCCCTGGGGGTTACAGCAATATTCAGCCGGTAGGGTCCTGAACAGGGAGAAAGGGTGTATTCTGCTTCTTCCCAGAGCTTGAACAGCCACAAATAGGTGACACCATGTGACCCACTGTGGCAAAGGAGAGCCACTTGTGCAACCTCCCTCACTAGTCTTTGTTGTCCAGCGCCAGTGTATTCACAAGTAGCTAAACCATGCTGCCGCCCCTGCTGCCATGGTTTTACGTCAGTTTGCCTCTTTTTGCCCCAATTTCCTCATCTGTAAAACCAAGATTGTGAAATTTGCTGCTCTGCAATCTGTGGGTGAAATGCTAGAGAAGAGCTAACAACTGCTGTGAATAGTGTCAAAATATTCCAAGTTGGCTGAGCAGCATCTCCCAGTTCCAACGGAGAGCTGGTTTCAGTTCATGGAATTCCCAGGTGCAGCACCTTGCTGAACTCAGCTGACCCCTGCACAGCTCTAAGCCCATCATGTGCCCAGCTCATGTCAGTAGGAGTAGGGGACCCATGGCCAGGAGCACTGAGTAGTTCATTTACTAAGGATATGTCTACACTAGAGTTGGTGAGTTTCCACCTCAGGCGGATATACTTGTGCTAGCTCCTGTCAAGCTAGCACACTACAACTCGCAGTGTAGCTTTGGTGCCATACGTTGTGGGGAAAAACTAGCTATCCCAAATATGTACCAAGGGCAGGGGTTGTCAGTTATTTTTTGTCAAAGTCCATATTTCTTGACCAAGTTATAGCCAAGGTTCAGACTCCAGAGAAAAAAATATATTTAAGAAAATAAAAAGATTTTGGCATCCAGTCAAAAACATTTGGTGGTCTGGATTTGGCCCATAGTTTACCTATTGACTACCTAGGGTTTCTGATGGGATTGCTCTCAGAGTAGCTAGCTTGGCCCATGGTGCATGCAGCTAGCTCAAGCAAAGCTAGCATGAGTATATCTGTCTGTACTAAAAATTACACCTCCAGCTCTAGCATAGACATACGGTGGAACTTGCATGTAGGCCAGGAGCCAGGCAGGGCAGAGTAGCCACACCCAGGTCGAAGCACATGTACAAACGTGCCCTCTTTCAGCAGAGCAAACAGGCCTCATTGCCAGACAGCCAGGCAAGGGGAAGAGAGGCTGGAGAGAAAGGGAGAAAAGAAGCAATCTGAGCAATGAACTGTGAGGCTGGTGTTTTGCTTCCCTGGAACTTGCATGTAGGCCAGGAGCCAGGCAGGGCAGAGTAGCCACACCCAGGTCGAAGCACATGTACAAACGTGCCCTCTTTCAGCAGAGCAAACAGGCCTCATTGCCAGACAGCCAGGCAAGGGGAAGAGAGGCTGGAGAGAAAGGGAGAAAAGAAGCAATCTGAGCAATGAACTGTGAGGCTGGTGTTTTGCTTCCCTCAGGCTTAGTGTTATAGGCAGGGATATGCGTGCGCGGTTAGGGGGATGGTGAGAGATCTGGGACACTGGGGTTCTATTGCCCATTTGTCACTGGTTCCACATGTGGTCTCTCTCAGGTCACTTCACGTCTCTGGGTGTTGTTTTCCCCACTCTGTACACTGGCTATAATAAGGGGCATTATAAAAGTTATCAAATACAAAGCGCTTTAAGCACTTCAGATGAATGTAGCTAGAAAGGGATTAATTACAAAACACAACATATAAAAAGTCTAATAGTAGCATCTCAATGTAAACATTTGAAAAGGGTCATTAAGAGCTCACGACTATGCTGGCATGCCACCTTACTGACATATGCACAGGGCAACATTGTACTGCGCAGGGGAATGGAGGAAGCCCCAGTCCTAACCCCTGCACAGCTGTGCAGGCCTATCCAGCTTTGGAAGGGAGAGTGGAGACTGAAAGCCCACGTAGGCAGAAAGAGGCAGGGAGGGGGTGGATGCAGGGCTATGCTGCCTCACCCCCACCTACACCACTCATACTAGGCAGTAGAGTGGCTAGTTGTGAAGGGCTGTGAATGATGTCCTGGTAATCCTCCAACATGGCCTATTCCCCCTCCTGCACAGTGCTGGCAACCATCAGTAAATTCACGGACGGTATCTGTAAAAGAGCTAAAATTGGGGCTGTTTGTAAAATCCATAAAAACATTTAGCTATCACATACTGGTCAAAAAACCAAACAAACTCCAAAACCATTGAGCTTTGCAGTGGTGCTGACAATTCCTTCCCATTGGCCCTGGGCCAAGATCTGCTCTGAGGGACAATGCCAGGGATTCTACAATTTCCAGGGCAGGGGTGGAGTGGGGAACTCTCCTGCTGGGGGCTCCTGCTGCTGGCTGGAGGGGGCTGCTCTT